TCCCCCCCGCGTCGCCCTGGCCGGGGCTCCCCCAGCCGCTCCCGGGTCACTTTCCTTCAAACACTTTTGTGGGAGCAGGGAATACCTGGTGGGGACCGCGGCAGAGGCGTCGGTGCCGGCCGCCCTCGGAGAAATGGGGTCTGGGGATTCCTTGGGGCGAGGGAGGCAGCGGGGCCATGCCTCCTCTCCCCAGCCTCCCCCGGCGCCCCGGCTATTCTGGTCGCCAGTGCCTTGGGAAGCTTGGTCCCCGCTGTCCCGGGCATCCTGGTGGCCAGTGGCTGGGGCAGCCTGACCCCGACACCCTATGTCCCCAGCATCCTGGCCGCCCCCGGGACATCGGTGTGGAGGGTACGAGCGTCCACCCCCGGGGCAGTGAAATTACGGGTGCCCTGAAGCCTTTTGTCTCGCCTTCGGGAGAAAATCGCGCTACAACAGTCCGCGCTAAAGGTGGACCCTACGTAGTGATCGGGAAGGCGATTCACACTTGTTTCATGCAAGATTGGCTCTTTTTGGTTTTGGTTTTTTTTTTGTTTTTTTTTTGTTTTTTTTTTTTTGTCGGTTTGGTTGGGGTTTGGATGCTGCATTTGATTATTACTCATTATCCATGGTTTCTTTTCGAATCAGTGACACAGCTTCAAGTCTGAATAATTATTATTTACAGTTCTGGAAAGAGGTGCATGAGACGTCCAAATGATCCCCGGTTATGGAATTGGAAACCTTCCTTTCCGTAGGCGTACAGGTACATATATGAAGCCAGCAACGATCTGAAACCCAGCAGGAGAAAAACAACGTGTAAAGACACCATGGATAACCACAAGGGTAACCAACTAGTTTTTCTAGTGCTCCCGAAGCACCGGCATCCCTCTCTTCAGACCTGCCCTCCGTGCCTTGTCGGGTCACGTAGCGGTGCAGCAGAATTAACCTTTGGCTTTTTCTTACACAGTCTTTTGTGGCTTGATCATCTTTCTTCAGATCGCCGACCTACCGCGGGGATCTACCCACAATTTCAGCCTCTGTAACCACTACCAGATACAAGAAGATTTCCAAAACCTTTCGGATCTAGAGAGGACCTTTACAAAAGAGGTTGGTGGTTTCTCCGGTGGCATCGGAGGGAAACTGTCGGGAGGGCACTGCCTCTACGATTTCACCCTTGACCGCCGGCAACTACTTTCTGAAAATCTCGATTAGCAAGCCGGGAGTTGGCTAGTGTAGCAGTAAACCGGTGCCTGTGAAACAGGACGGGGAACTTTTCTCCAACTCTCCTCCGGCGACCTTCCTAAAACGTGCTTTCGCCGGAGCTGGGACTGGCCGGGACGGAGCTACCCGACCCTTCCCGGCGCCTTGCAGACCCCTAGGACTGAAAGATGAAGATGGTGTCGCGGCTGCAAAGGTGATGAGCGGTTTAGAAGCTGCGCGGATGGTCCCGACGCTTAGCGGAAAGATGAGGCGGCGGCGGCGGCTTTCGGGAGGTGCAGCCCAGTACAGCCCAGCGCTACAGCCCAGTACAGCCCAGCGCTACAGCCCAGCACAGCCCAGTACAGCCCAGTACAGCCCAGCGCTACAGCCCAGCACAGCCCAGCGCTACAACCCGGCACCGTCTGTCCCGCACCACCGCCACCTGCCTCCCGCAGCCGCCCGCACCCT